TTCCGGCCCCCGCAGCCTCGACCTGCTGGGCTCCAGCAATCTTCCGCCTCAGCCTTCCAAGTAGCCGGAATTACAGGCATGCGCTACCACGCCCGGCTGATTTTTTGATTTATTGGAGAGATGAGGTCTCACTGCCTAGGCCAGTCTTGAACCCGCGGGCTCAGGCTCCCACTCACCTCAGGCTCCCACTCACCTCAGCCTCCCAAAGGTGCGGTATTACAGGCTGAGCCACCGAGCCCGCCTGGTTTGGGTTTTTTTTTTTTTGAGTCTCACCTGCCACACAGGCTGGAATGCAGTGGCACAATCACGATGATCATGGCTCACAGCCTCTACCTTCTGCGCTCAGGCAGTCCCTCCACCTCAGCATCCCTAGTAGCTGGGACTACAGGCATGTGCCACTGTGCCCAGCAAATTTTTTTATTTTTTTGTTGAGACAGGATTTATCTATGTTGCCTAGGCTACTCTTGAACTCCTGGGCTTAAGGAGTCCACCCCCTAGTTCTCCCAAATTGCTGGGATTACAGGTGTAAGCCACCATGCCTTGCCCTTACTTGTATTTATTGTAGGAATGTTGTGTGGGATGCTAGTCATATCTTCATGTGGCCTCCCCTTCAGGAGGACCAGAAGGAAATTTTTTCAGACCCTAGAACGAGAAAAGGCTGTGTTTTGCTGAGCAATTGTACACTTGGACCACTGTGCCCAGCCTCCAATACCATCTTTTAAAAGTTACCTTCTAACCCTCTTGATCAATATCTAGGTTAAAAGTAATTTTGGAATAAAAATACTTACACGGGATATGTTATGATTTAATGTGTTACTATTATGAATAGAACTCATTTTCCATGGGATATATATATATATTTGACAGGCATAATACTACTCTGTTTTATGTTGGTAAAGTTCTGACTTTTCTTCATTGTCACTGTTTGAATTTAGTCTCTAGTTTTGGAAATTATAAAAGAAAGGATCTTGATTAATAGATACATTTCCAATTGTAATTATAATATAGCCTGAGCTACCAAGGACATTCTAATTTTCCATTCTAATTAGCCCAAGAATAGCCATTAAATATTATAACCTTAGCTTAAATTTTTACTTTTATGGAAAGCTTTTTAAAATATATTGTATTTTCCCCTTCCTAGTCAGAACACACCAAATATAATTTGACTTTCCTTAGTGATTCAGAGTGAATGTTAGCATCAGTTATTTTGATAAGCTAAAGATTAGAGTTTAGAAATAGATGAGGACACATAACTCAGTGTTATTGGCTCTGCATTGGGCGTGGGACTTGTTTTCTTCAAAACGTCTTTGATGGCAGGTTTTTGTTCATTTATCTAGAATTAATAAAAATAATAAAAAATGTGCCAGGTGCTATGACACACATCTATTGTCTCAACCAACCTGGGCAACATAGTGAGACCATATCTGTACAAAATAAATTTTTAAAAATATTTCTTTTATTTATTTATTTATTTATTTTTTGATTTGGAGTCTCACTCTATCGCCCAGGCTGGAGTGCAATGGCACATTCACGGCCACCTCAGCCTCAACCTACTGGGCTGAGGAGATCCTTTCGTCTTTGCCTTCTAAGTAGCTGGAACTACAGACACACGCCACCATGCCTGGCTAGTTTTTTTTGGGATTTATTGTAGAGACAAGGTCTCACCAAGTTGTCCAGGCTGGTCTCAAACCCCCCGGGCTCAAGCAATCCTCTCGCCTCGGCCTTCCAAAGTGCTGGGATTACAGGCTGAGCCACCATGCCTGGCCTTTAAAAAATATTTCATCAAAAATAGAAGCAATCTTCTCCCACGTGATTTTCTCCAGAAAACATTCTTTATTCTTATTGTCAGTAGCTAGCGTCCTTCAAAACCGTATCTCTGATAGATGTGTGATAAAGCAAATTTAGCAGAATGTTAATTGTATAATCTAAATCATGTTAAGTGTATAATCTAAATGGTGAGTATATGGTATTTACTGCACTGTCATTCAACTTTTCCTTATAAAAATTTTTATAATAAAATATTGAAGAAAGGTAAAATAGAAAACCATCTCTAATTTTTATATCACTAATAGAATAAAATGTATCTTTTATGTAAAAGATGCTAGTCTTTCTCTTTATAAAAATTTCTAATTTTATGCTGTTCTAAATTAGACCAGTAAGGGTGTATTTTGTCTTTTTAAAGTTAGATTAGCACAATATGTTTTGGTGCTGTTTTAAAAAGGAAACTTTTCCATTTGAACCAAACTAATTATGATTAAACTGAATCTTTCCTAAAATTCTACCCAATACATTTATGTTTGGAATTTTTGTTTTCATTTTTGTTTGTTTGTTTGTTTGTTTTTGCAGTACTTGAAAGCTGTGATCACTCCAGAGTGTCTTCTGATATTAGATTACCGTAATTTAAATTTAGAGCAATGGCTGTTCCGGGAACTCCCTTCACAGTTGTCTGGAGAGGGTCAACTAGTTACGTACCCTTTACCTTTTGAGTTCAGAGCTATAGAAGCACTCCTGCAGTATTGGGTAAGTCTGTTTTTATTTAGCTGCTTGCATTTAATTCTGGTTGTGAACTGCTATTGAGTGGGAAGACAAGTTGATATTATTTCAATGGGACTTTCCCTGACCACATTCTCTCCCCAGACAAAAACATTTCTAAGGATCTATGTAGAGAAAGTACTTGAACCTTATGATTCGTCAAATAGAATAAAAGACTCTAGTTATACACAGTCTCTTTAAGAGTCATGTTATGGTGGTCAACAAAATATACTTCTTTTTTCTTTTTTTTTTTTTTTTTGGAGTATGGGTCTCATTCTGTTACCCAGGCTGGAGGGCATAGCACAATCACAGCTGACCACAGCCTCAACCTCCTGGGCTCAAGTGATCCTTCTGCTTCAGTCTCCCGAGTAGCTGGGGCTACAGGTTCATGCTACCACAGCTGGCAAATTTTGTAATTTCTTTACAGACAAGGTCTACTATGCTGCCCAGGCTGGTCTGAACTTCTAACCTCAAGCAGTCCTCCTGCTTGGGCCTCCCAAAGTGCTGGGATTACAAATGTGAGCCACAATGGCCAACCCTTTATACAGTTATATAACTATATTGAGGGGTAATACTTCAAAATACTTAACATCCTAAACGTGATATAAATTGTCAGATCAAAAATTTTAAATGCATTCATTTTAGTATCTAAATTAAACTATATTATAAACTATATTATTTACATGTGAGAAATGCATTAGATCAGTAATCAAATCATTCTTGGATTTGTTTGTACAGCCAGTTCTGAGGTAGGTATATGATGCCTCTGTTTTGGATTAAGATTTATTAGATGTCTGGGGATCCTGACAGGCCCTGAACAAGGGTGGTTCACAACTTTCCTAACCCCCACAAATCTTACATTATTTTTTCTTCCCCCATTAGTCTAAATAGTACTTTTCAAGAACTGTCTGCATACAAGAGTTGGTTCTAGGAGTATGCTAACTGCAGTGGGAGACTGAGAGGAGAGTAGCAAGGACAGGAGGTGGATGGGAACTGGGTGAACCTGGTATGCCTTTCTTTTGTCTGCCTTGCTCTACTGAGGACATAGATGACTACATTCCCTGCTTGGGTTAATGAGGCAATAGGACCCGTTAGTAGCAACCAATGAGATGGTGAGTAGTGAGAGCCCAGTTGCTATGCAGGGAAAAAGCAGAAGAGGGAAAGAAAGAATGCAAACAATGATTAGTGCCAGGCTGCACAGGCTTGGTAAACTCTCAGGAGCTCATGCCATTGGAGGAAGGTAGGGTTTTTGATGAAAGAGCAGAAGGGGAAAGAGAGAAGCTGGGCTGGCATATCCTGCCTAGATATTGGCTGTGGGGTGAATGCAGAGGGAGCTCAGGTTGTCTGCTGGCATACACATTCTTCTTGTCTTTAAATGGGGTTATGGGAAGATTTTCTCCTGAAAGAAGACTACACATAAGCAGGGCCAGCCACCCCCTAAAAAGGACAAGTTTTCAAATAAGGGAAACCTCTCCAAACCCACCTAAGGGACCAAAACATACCATGAGTAGATAGGACTCACAAACACCCCCAACTGACCACAGCAGCCTCCCCAAGCACTTCCTGAGGCCACACGTGACTTTATAGTGATTTGTTTTATTTTTTATTTTTTTGAGTTAGTATCTCACTCTGTCACCCAGGCTGGAGTGCAGTGGCACTTTCACAGCCACTGCAGCCTCGGCCTGCTGGGCTCAGGTGATCCTTCCACCTCAGCCTTCCAAGTAGCTGGAACTACAGGCACATGCCACCATGCCCGGCGAATTTTTTTATTTATTGTAGAGGTGAGGTCTCACCAAGGTGCCTAGGCTGATCTCAAACCCATGGGCTTAGGCAGTCTTCTCACTTCAGCCTCCCAAAATGCTGGGGCTATAGACATGAGCCACCTTGCCCTGCCTTGTTTTATTTATTTTTTTTAAATCCAGCATATGTTTTGGTTTTCAAAAGAGCTTAGTAGGAATTGAACTGCATTCTCTTTACAAAGAGCTTGGGTATTACTAAAAGTTTGTGTTGGCTATGGAATGGCTAAAATTAAATTTTATTTTAATTATTAATCCGTCATTCCTTTCAAAGTAAATGTCTATAGTGGGAGACTCTTCTGAGTGTTAATTCCTTGTTAACCATATCTGAGCCTAATGATGACATTACATGTGGTTCTGTGAACCCTGAAGATGTAGCTCTTAGATCATGTAGATTAGCCATTCCAGCACTGACTGTGTCCTAAAATGTTACCAGTCTTTTCAGCTATTACAGATTTAATCTAATACAGCTATTATAGTATTTAACTAGAGGGTTCACTGATCCTGAATATTCTAAAAAGATTGTTTTAATTCTTATGAAAGGTCATGTTGTTATCTAGATCAACACCCTTCAGGGGAAACTTAACACTTTGCAGCCACTGATCCTTGAGACTTTGGAAGCTTTAGTGGATCCCAAACATTCTTCTGTAGACAGAAGCAAACTGCACATCTTACTACAAAATGGCAAAAGGTAAATATGGGTGAGGTACCAAGTTGAGAGAGACAAATGTCTTAAAATTCTCAAAAGTCTTAGCAGTGAAATGTTTAGCATAAATCCATATACAAGATTCGTGTCTGTTTTAAAAAGACCAACTAGTCTTGCTAATGGTAGTGATATTTTTTTACTTTATAAATTACTCTCTGCCTTTGTTGCCAATTATTAAAATTTTGTGTTTCATTTTTTTAAAGTGGGAAAGTAGCCTAGATGGGAAGTTGAGCTAAAAAGAGCACACAACAGGATGTTTACTGAAAAGATGTTTTACATGAAATGTTACGTAAGGCTCTCCTTTATATGTGATCTCGTCTCATCAGCAACCCCATTCAGTAGTTGATAATTGTCCTCATTTTTGAGATGAGAACACTGAGGTTTAAGTAATGTATATCTAGCTAGTAATTGGCAGATCTAAATTCAAATCCACTTTTCTGTCCCTCCAAAGTCCATGTTGTTATTTTTCTTTAAAATCATACTGCATTCCAGAATTTAAGAGCAATGATTAATTTGTATCATAAATTGAATAAATATACACTCAGTATTTGTACCCCCTAAAATCTCAAGAATTAATCATGAAAATTCCCGAATCAGGAAGTTTCTTGTCCAAAATGTTGGAGTGTTTTTATCAGTTAAGAGTAAATAGTCTGTTACATATTATTACCACTACATTGATTGAGAATAAAAATAACTCCTGTGCCAAAAATCTTAAATTCACAGTGATTGTATGTTTCTGAGATAAATAATATATGCTGAGATTTATATCACTGATTAACTTTCCCAGTTAATTTAGTTTTTGTTTGGGGATTGTTAATTTGCATGGTAAATATTGAAGTATTTTTTCCAAGCCAGTGTTAGCCATGGATGAATGTATGAGGGAATCTACTTGATAAGATATCCTTAAAAAGCACTAATCTTATAGGGAAGTGTTTTTCATAAACTTACGTTGTTGATTATTCCTGTGAAATTATTCTTACAGTCTATCAGAGTTAGAAACAGATATTAAAATTTTCAAAGAGTCGATTTTGGAGATCTTGGATGAGGAGGAGTTGCTAGAAGAACTCTGTCTGTCAAAATGGAGTGACCCACAAGTCTTGTAAGTATATAATCATGCTTTGCTGTTTATTTCCTTAGGGTGACTCTTCTTATTTCTTCAAGATATTTTTCCTTAAAGAACATTTTTCTGGAATAGAGGATATAGGCATTCTTCATTCCCAGTTGTTTCATTTTTTCCCTGTGTAGTATTGCGTCTAATTCAACTTAGTGGGTATATATCACATACATACTGCATACCCAGGGCTGCTGGGATGCAGTATAAAATACACAATTGCCTTTATCTGCAAGGGACTGACCACCAAATTGGCACACGCATCTACTGAAATAACTCAGCTAGGTAGTAGCATGGAAGAGAAGGAGAGAGATTTATATGAGAGAGGAAAATGGAGGGGTGAAACAGATGAGTTAAACATTGGCATAAATCCTGTAAGTTAGTCTAATAAAAATAATCATATAAACCTTTTTATCTCTTACATGAGTATAGAAGTCATTTACTCTTCTTACTTGTGCATACTCCAGTTAAATATTTGCTTTTTAAATACTCAAATATTTTGTTTTTATTCTTTGTAGAGCAGCATCAGAAATAGATGCAGACATAATTGTAATGACTGTAGTTTCCACAGTCTATACAGACTTTTTAAGCACTTTGAGAAATTGATTATTTCTACTCTAATAAAGAAATACTAAGATAAAAAGGGCTACATAACGTTTGGTTGATAGCAGATATAGTAGCAGAAACTCTTGCTTATTTTGCTTAGGCCAATCAGCCTCAAATATGCTTTGTGATGTAACTACTTTTTACAGAGTGCTTCATTCCCCCATCCTCCTCCGTCGTAGGGTGGGGGTTATAAATAAAGGGGAGCAAAGTAACTATTGACATTCAAAAACACGTCATATATGAAAATGACATTATATACACACCTTGGAAGGTAAATGCTTTCCTTGTTCATTTTTTCATTTTTGTCTTTGTTTTACCTGATAGTGATTTTGGATTTGCACTATTCATCAGCATTCACATATGTGGATTTCACTTTAACAGGCAGCACATAGCGTATGTGCTCTTAAATTGGGGCCATGGAATACAGTGAAGCTAAATAGTTTACATAAGCATGGACTGTCCTCAACTTTCATCCTCAACTTATCTGTATAGTGTTTAAGATCAGTTGGCATAACTACTCACAGATTGGCCTCAATTGAAAAAACAGAGGCTAGTTTTTCCAGTGATGGCTGATTATTATATAATAATTGAGGAAGTTTTTGGTAGCAAATATAGGATGCACATATTGGGTACATGTTGATTATGTTAACTCTTTTAATTTAAGTGAAAAGAGTAGTACTGGGATTGACCATGCAGAAGAAATGGAGTTGCTATTGGAAAACTACTACCGACTGGCTGATGATCTTTCCAATGCAACCCGGGAACTTAGGGTGCTGATTGATGATTCACAAAGCATTATTTTCATCAATCTGGACAGGTAAGAAAGCATTATTTAAAAAACATACATTTTCTTTATAAAATAATTATTATAAAATAAAGCTTTTTGGGGGGGGGAGTTGGAGTTGGAGTCTTATTCTGTCGCCCAGACTAGAGTGCAGTGGCATGCTTACAGTAGCCATAGCCTCAACTTGCTGGGCTCGGGTGATCCTTCCACCTCAGCCTTCCAAGTAGCTGGAACTACAGGCACGCACCACCATGCCCAGCTAATTTTTTTATTTATTGTAGAGATGAGGTCTCGCCAAGTTGCCCAGGTTGATCTCAAACCCGTGGGCTCAGAAAATCCTCTCACCTCAGCCTCCCAAAGTGCTGAGATTATAGACGGGAGCCACCGTGCCCAACCCAAAAGGTTTTTTTTTTAATTTTTATTTTTTTGTTTTTTGATTTGGAATCTCACTCTGTCGCTCAAGCTTGAGTGCAGTAACACGCTCACAGCCACTTCAGTCTCAACCTGCTAGGCTCAGGTGATCCTTCAGTCTCAGCCTTCCAAGTATCTGGAATTACAGGCACTCACTATCATGTCCGGCTAATTATTTTTTTATTTTTTTATTGTAGAGATGAGGTCTTGCCAAGTTGCCCAGGCTAGTCTTGAACCCATGGGCTCAGGTAACCCTCTTACCTTGCCCTCCCAAAGTGTTGGGATTATAGGAGTGATCCACCGCGTTCAGCCTAAATAAAGCTTTTAAGGAAATGTCATTTTCAAAGGAATTACACCATTATCATCTATACCTGCTATGTGGATGTGGTCTTTTTTTTTAAGGTGTAGATTTAATCCATGTGGTCTTTAATAGATGCAGTGAATTTGCTGTATAGATTTAGTGAGCCCTTCTGACTGGAGTAGGTATTCTTTTCTCCAGCCACCGTAACGTGATGATGAGGTTGAACCTGCAGCTGACAATGGGAACCTTCTCTCTTTCGCTCTTTGGATTAATGGGAGTTGCTTTTGGAATGAACTTGGAATCTTCCCTTGAAGAGGTGAGGATGTGTTGCTTCAATAATTTAGGGGTTATTATTTTTCAGTGTTTTGGAGAAGGATCTAAAAAATGATTCTTCTTCAAAAAAGTCTCACCTGTCTGTATACTATCATAGTGAAATAAAATATATACTTTAACTCAAAATTCAGGCAGTATTGTAACATAGATACAATTATGGCCCAGATTACTTTGTTTCCCAAAATGTATAACTGCAAATGGGAAAGGTTTTTTTTTTTTTGCTTTTGCTTTCTTTTTTATCAGCCCACGTCATGCCTTGAAGGAAAGTTTTGATAAAATAGTGTCACACTGTAAGGCAGTGTGGTTTTTTTAAATTTTGTTTTTCATATTTTAAAGATGGGTACAATTCAGGATTAGGTATGCAAGTGGTCATTGTACAGGTAAAGTTTGGGCCTCCCTTTGGTCCCCACCCTGCCTGGTTTGAGATCAGGTGCCCTTTTTGATGTTGTCTCCCACCCCTCCCCTGGCAGTATCCCACTACTGCCAATCCCCTTCTTATAGTATCAGGGTAAATGTTCAGGGTCCACTTATGAATGAGAACATATGGTACTCTGTTCTTTGTGTCTGTGATAGATGACTATAGACTGTGAGGCAGTGTTAATGAAGGTTTTTATTTTTCAATTCTTACATATCTGGCAATGTACCTGGCAGTTTGCATGCTTTATTTGGCTCAGTCATCACAATTCTGAAAACAGATGTACTATCCCTACTTTGTAGAGAAAATTTAAGTAACTTGCCCATGTGCACAAAGCTAGAAAATAACAGTTAGGATTTGTATCCAGGGACTTGGGTTTTCTGCTTTGCTCTACTGCCTTTGGATATTAATATGACACTGAACTCCTGGAGTTTCTCGTATCACCGTAGCCTTGTACAGTTGTCTCTTGGTGTCTGAGGGAGTTTGGTTCCAGATTCTCCACAGAAATCAAAATCCACAGATACTCAACCCTGATATAAGATGAGCTAATGCAGTCAGTCTTCCATATCTGCAGGTGCAGAACCCTCTGATCTGGAGGGTTGACTATTTTTGTTTTCATTTTTATTTTAGATTCAGGTGGTGCGCATGCATTTTTATTACACGGATATATTATGTTGTGGGGACTAGGTCTCATTTTCTGAGAATATCTTATTGTAGGATTTCTAGAAACTAATCTAGATATGTATTTGACACATTCTGGTGCTGGATTCCATGTCCTAATTAGTCTAATAGGTCTGCTCTCTCTTTAATGGTCTTATCAGGACCACATGTGCTTTTAAAAATGGTCTTTGAAAGATGTAAAACTGATTTTTTTTTAAAAGCAGGATTTACTGAGAGGACAGAAAAGCTCCCCCAGTGGAAGGGGACCCAGTGGGGTTTCCCTAAAACTATTTTGTCATTCTTCTGCATACATCTGTCCAGTGACTTTTCATTAACCTTAGGATAAAACTCCAAACTCCTTGGCCTGTTGGCTTTCCTAATCTGCTGTTCCTCCATGTCCATCTCATCTGCAGCCATTCTTGTCAACTCTTCTCTGTTCCTTCTCAAGACATGCTGCTCTATACTTCTCCACTCTGGTCTCAGCTTAGGTGTAGTTCCAAGTAGCTGGAACTACAAGCACATGCCATAACACTCGGCTAATTTTTAAATTTATTGTTGAGACAAGGTCTCGCCAAGTTGCCCAGGCTGGTCTTGAGCCTCTGGGCTGAGGAAATCCTCTTGCCTCCACCTCCCAAAGTACTGGGATTACAGGCATGAGACACTGCACGTGGCATATTAGTCATTTTTAATGCTCCTATGGCAAAATGTAAAATAAAAATAAATGCAATACATTTTTTCATTCATCCCACAGTTTTTGTTTTTTTAAAAAAAATGACAGTCTCACTCTTTTGCCCAAACTGGAGTACAGTAGCATGATCATAGCTCACTGCAGCCTCCAACTCCTAGGCTAAAGTGATTCTCCTGCTTCAGCCTTCCAAGTAGCAGGCATTACAGGCTTGCACCACTGAGCCTAGCTCATTCTTTAATTTTTTTTGTAGAGATGGGATCTTGCTTTGTTGCCCAAGCTATTGACCTCAAGTTGATCTTCCCACCTTGGCCTCCCAAAGTGCTGGGATTTGAGATATGAGCACTGCACCAAGCCACAAATGTGTTTTTTTAGTGACTGTTATATACCAAGCACCACTTAAGCCCCATTTAGCGGTGAGTCCCTGCTCTTGTGGAGGTAACACTGTAGTGAAGTAGAAAGATAATAAACAAGTATAAAGTATGTTAAATGATAAGTGACACAAAGAAAAACAAAGCAAGGCTAGGGGATAGAGAATGTTAAGTGGTGGAACAGGTAACCTTTTAGACGTAGGGTAGCCAAGGAAGGTGGTTCTAAGGAGGTGACATCTAGGTGGATACCTGCATGAAAAGAGAAAACCAGAAGATGTGGAGAAAGCATTCTAAGCAGAGGGAACCACAGGTGTAAAGCCTGAGGCAGGAGTGATCTGAGTTTTTTCCAGAACAGCAAAAAGGCCAGAATGGTTAGAAGAGGGTAAGTCAGGTGGCAAGGTGGAGAATGAGGTCCCCAAAAGCAAGCATGAGATCATGTCAGTTGTGTGGAGCATGGTAAGGCTTTGGATGTATTCCATGATAGGAATCACTGGAGGTTTGAGTCCAGATTTAGGCCATTGGAAAGTTCAGAAGTAACTGGAATATCATGTGCAACATCGTCCAACTCTTGACATTCTTAAAAGATACATCCAAAGATCTGTACAAATCTGTGGCCATGGGACTTTAAGAATTGTGTTTATGTACATATACTCAGTCTCTAAGCTAACTTATACTTACTCTGATATTTTTCTCTCATTTAATTGCCAGTTTTTCAAAAAAATGAACAACTTTTTAAAAAGTTCCTTTCTGATAGCTTCAGTATGTGCAATTCTAGGTACCAAGTAATCCATTTGTAATGCGATATGAGTAGTAGGTAATGAGCTAGCTCCTAAGTGAACAAGATTCAGATCAGTGGCTTATCAGAATTACAAACTACACATCTCTAGATGTCCTGAAGAATAATTGAAACTGGCCGGGCTCGGTAGCTCAGCCTGTAATCCCAGCGCTTTGGGAGGCCGAGGTGAGTGGATTGACTGAGACTGCAGGTTCGAGACCCGCCCCGGCAACTTGGCGAGACCTCATCTCTACAATAAATCAAAAATTAGCCAGGCGTGGTAGCACGCACCTGTAGTTCCAGCTACTTGGAAGGCTGAGGCGGAAGGATCGCCAGAGCCCAGCAGGTCGAGGCTGCAGTGGCCAGGAGCGGCCACTGCATTCCAGTCTGGGTGACAGAGTGAGACTCCAACTCAAAAAAAAAAGAATAGTTGAAACTTTCATTAAATCCGTGGATGTTAAATGTCTTTATTCTAGCATGGTTAGAATTAATATTTGCAATGATGTTAAAGATAGGGAGAAATTTTTTAAGACTTATAGAAAAGTTCCAAGAATAGTGAAAGAATTTCCATGTAACCTTTACCCAGATCCTTCAAACATCAACATTTTATCACATTTACTTTATCATTCATCTACATAGACACACTTTAGTTTCTAAGCTTTTTGAGAGTAAGAACAAATGTGATGCCCCTTCTCCTTTTTTTTTTTTTTTTTTTTTTGAGTCAAAGTCTCACTCTGTCACCCAGGCTGGAGTGCCATGGCATGTTCATGGCCACCACAGCCTCAGCCTGCTGGGCTCACTCTGTCACCCAGGCCTAAGTGCTGTGGCATGTTCATGGTCACCGCAGCCTCAACCTGCTGGGCTCAGGTGATCCTTCCACCTCAACCTTTCAAGTAGCTGGAACTGCAGGCGTGTGCCACCACACCTGGCTAATTTTTAATTGATTAATTTTTGAGTCAGTCTCACTCTGTCACCCAGGCTGGGGTGCAGTGGCATGCTCATGGCAACCACAGCCTCGACCTGCTGGATTCAGGTGATCCTTTCACCTCAGCCTTCCAAGTAGCTGGAACTACTGCACCACCACTCCCAGCTAATTTTTCATGATTTATTGTAGGGACAAGGTTTTGCCAAGTTGCCTAAGTTGGTCTACAACCTCTGGGCTCAAGTAATCCTCTTTCCTCTGCCACTCAAAGTGTTGGGATTACAGGCGTGAGTCACCGCACTCGGCCTAAATTTTTATTTATTGGAGAGATGAGATCTCACCAGGTCATCCAGGCTGGTCTTGAACCCTGGGCCCAGGCAATCCTCTTGCCTTTGCCCAATGTGCTGGGATTACAGGCATGAGCCACTGTGCCCATCAATGCCCCTTTATCCCTAAATGTTTCAGTACATATTTCCTAAAAATATGTACATCCTCTTATATAACCACAATGTGGTTATCAAAATTAGGAAGTTAACACTGAAATATTTTCCAATCTATAGACCCTATTCAGATTTTGCCACTTGTCTTAGTATACTTTATCAGAAAGAAAATTTTAGATCACATGTTACATATAGTTATCATGTCTCTCTAGTCTCCTCTAACTTGGAACAGTTATTTAATCATTGACTTTCATGGTCTCAACATGCGTGAAGAATACAGGTTTGTTATATGGTGCTCAATAAAGTTTCATTATTAGATTCTGTTACGCATTTTGCCAGTGTGAATCTTTACAGTGAATCTCATCAGAAGACACATGTCATTTTGTCCCATTACTGGCAGTACTGACCTTGGTTATTATCATTTGGCTAAGATTTTGTTTACCAAGGATCCTATAGGAGACACTTAGGGACTATGTACAAATCCTATCATACATCAAATTTTCACCCTCTAGCTTTAGCATCCGCTAAGTGATCCAAAATTGATTGATTCTTGAGCCAAATATTACCATGAAGGTGATTTTCTAATTCCATCATTTCTGCATTTATGAGTTGGCCTTATATTGTGAAGAAGGGCATTCTCCTTTCTTCCACTTACTCATTTATACCCGTATGTATTCAAGGAGTCTTGTTTTAGCCAGTGCGTTATAACCTGTCACTATCATTATTATTTTGATGCTCAAATTGTTCCTTTCATGCTGACTTCTGAGTACTTTTGACATGTCTTCATTGGTTTTTAGTGCTTTTGTAGCCTCTGGCACATCTAATCTTTTGGTGAAAACAAACTATTTCTAAGTGATGACTAAACTAGACTGAGCAGTGGGGGAGAGGCAGGGCACCCAGAGTGAAAAGGAGGTAGGTTAAGCAGCAGGTGAGCAGGCACACTCTGTCAAGTGTTGCAGGGCATGCCCAAAGCGCAGGGAACAGTAAATCCCCAGCCCTCAGAGCCTTGTCCTTGCCCTGGATGTCCCACATGTCATCCTGTGCTATGTGTGTTTATTGGCACATGGAACTTTGAGATAGGTTTGCCTCTGACTTAACTTACTTCTCGATTTTATCACATTCTAGCATTCCCAGATTTGGGGTTTATAGGGAGCCACAGAACCCAGCTACCTACAGTAGAGAACAACAGAATTTTTACTTAATAAATTAGGGCCCTCATTTTGGATAACTGGAAATGTGCTTACCATCCAAAAACAACTCATGTTAACACCTTCCTAATTTGTTGTGCCTAACATATAACTTCATGTTAAAAGGAGCCAGATTTCTGCTCAGTAAATGACATGAATTTCTACCAGTGATGGCTGATCAATGGTATAACCGGCTACCCTGGGGGAAGTGAGCTCTCAATTATAGGAGCTAGCCAGACCATGGATGATAACCAACTATTGGCATAGCTGTAGATGGGACTCCTTTCTTGTGAAAGATTAATTTAAATTCTGTGGCTCTGTACATTAATGCATTAACTGAAAACACTGAACTGCAAAAATATTACCATTCTGAAAATGATGGTGAGGAAAAATGTTTACTATGGGTCTGAAGTTCCCAAATTCTGCACTTAGTGTCTTAGTAATTTTTCCACAGCATCCCTAGACCAAAAGTTTCTTATTATGCTATAGATTCTTTTGTCCCATTTTCCTTGAAATTTTAAAAATTCTTGGGTGCTCACAGTTTGGGTGAACTTAAATTATGTGTCATCTGTTTTTAACCATGAAAATTTTTATGCATGTAAACAAAGACTGGAAAAACACAAAGTAAAAGCAGTTATGTTTGGCTTGTAGATGATTTAAAAATTTTAAATCATGTGTCCATTCTTACTTATTCTCTGGTTCTCGGTCTCTGAATATCATTAGGTACTTGTTCTTAGATACTTTCAAATAATATAAGACTTCTTCTAAACTCTGAGACATTAATAGTTCAGGAAGTTTTATCTCTAAGTATCCTAGCCTTTTGTGATTGAACTGAATGATGTTTTTCTCTTTTAGGACCATAGAATGTTTTGGCTGATTACAGGAATTATGTTTATGGGAAGTGGCCTCATCTGGAGGCGCTTGCTCTCATTCCTAGGACGACAACTAGAAGCTCCATTGACTCCTATGGTATGAAGAGTATTGTTCTAAAGTCAGACCACCTAGACTTAAGTTGTCACAGGCTCTGGGGTCCTTCGCAAGTTGCATACTTTCTCTAAGCCTTTCTCAGTTTCCCTATCTACTTCATAAGGTCATGGGAAGAATTTAAATGGATAATTCAAGTAATTCAGCAGTAATTAAACATGCAAGGCACTTATTACACAGTGCCTAGCATAATAAATTAGTTAGAAATATAATTCATTTTGTGTACAACACTGACATGCATTATACATTTAAACAGATGTTAGTAATTCTCAGGCAAGGTTTTGTCACAACCAAATTGAAATGTAGGGGAAACATTTATAGTGTTCTTGTAAGAAAAGATAATACAGTTTACCTCCTTTTTCTTTGTATTTGAAAATGACACTATTTAAGACACATATTGCTTGTAGCTTTTCTTTCTTTCATTGCATAATACTATTTTACTGGTGGCATTTCTTTTAAGAAACATGAACTAAAATTAATTTTTCTGCTTTTTTTAGGTGACCTCTGTACCTAAAAAGACCCTTCTGACAGATAGAAGCATGGATCTGAGAAACAGTCTCAGACCAGATGGATTTGGATCAAGCAGGAGTATACTAACAAGTCGTTAGGAGCAACCCGGTGGATACTGAATATTTTTTATGGTAGTCACAGAAAACTTCGGATATATTCTTTTATTATATTCTTTTATGGAGTTGGACACTTGAAAAAAAACCACTGATATTTAAATTAAAACATCTGATGACAAAAATATGATGCAGTCACAATACTAGAACTTAATTGTATTTCCAGAATTCTGAGTTAAAGAAGCAAAGTACTTGCTTTGTAAAAGGCCAAAATTCTGTTTTCTACAAACTTTAAATGATGTTTTTATAGATGTGATGTGAGGCAACACAAGAACAGACTACAACATTGTATAGATTTTATTAAATTTATACGTATCAAGAAAAGTGCAATTTCATGCTGAATGAAGCCTAGGAACTTGACAGACCCATCAGTAGCCAATAGTTCTTTGTCAGTACAGGGGATCCTGTTCATGTGAATTTTCTGATTCTCAGGTGACTGAAGAGCTAGCATTGTGTGCATTAACCTTAAAACAAACTCTGGAAGTTTGTGCTTTAAAAACCAATCCTCGATATAACCTTATCTTCTTGTGTTTGTCTCCCTTTTTTAATATAGTGTGAATAAAAAGAAATGATAGTTTAATATTAGCATTATATGGATTCTAGTTAATCAAGATTTCACTTTCTTGACCCCTGAAACTATTTTTCTTTGCTTGGAAGTAAAGTTGAAAGGAAGTGTTTCCATTCTGTTACTGTTTTATAGCTGCTTTGTTCATTTTCTGATTTTTATACCATACCCCTCAAAAGGGAAAATGTTTATTGCCCACCCAAACTATGTCTACACCTCAAAAATAGACAGATGGACTTCCTAAAACAAGAGGGTAGATAAATATTAGACTTGTGATAACTTTTTGTTTTCCTAGTCAGAGATTTGGGTTAAAACAAATGGTTAATATTTGTGAATGTGAAAACAGCTATCCTGCTTAATATCTTACCTACCTTTTTTAAAAATATATTTTCTGGAGTACAGTTATTCACTAGAAAATTATAGTTAAACTTGTCTCCCAAAATAGCATACAAGGTAGATGCTAGAGTGTCCAGAGCTGCTCTTGCAGTAATAAAAGAATAAATATGCCTACTCAGATGCTGTTGCAGGTACCTGATTACCCTAATATTATATTGTATGAGGAAGTATAGTGGTTCATTTTTCAGGTGGTTTGGTGATAGGAATAAAATGTTATTCTAGTAGCTGATTTAGAAGGCAACATGAAGTTACAAGTAAGGTTTCCCCAGCCCGGGTGTGGTTATGGGAAACCATTAGAGGGAAGCTGGAGAACAGGAGGGCACACAACAGGTTGGGGTGCTCTCATAGCACTGAGTAGCCCCAGGACACTGCACTGTGGGCCAGGAACCTGCCCCGTGGTGTGGCTGCTGGAACGTGAGTATACAGCACTCTCTGGCACTAATGAATCTGATGATTTTCAGGATTATTTTTGATAATACTTAGATTTCACAAGGTATTCTTTGGCACACCTCAAAGCACTCTGCTGCTCTTATTGGTCTTATCACTGCAAAATGGGTAATAAATACTACCTAACTGTGATGTATGAAGAATTGGAATCTGAGAAGGCAAAACTTGATTTGGATGAAGACCAGGCATAGGATAAAATTTCGGTCATTTTCCCTTTAATGTTAATTGATTTAGTTTGAGCATGGGTAAAATAATTTCTTTGATGAATCATGTTCATTAGTAAAAGGAAAAATGATGCAACTACCTCATATGTCTGACAAAGGGAAGTTACTAGTGCTAATGGCTTATAAAATTCATGAAGGTAGTTAGATCAAGTATGATTTCAACATGTCAGCTAGTTCTCCTTTTGTGATTTCAGGATGCTTCTTATATAATGTTCTCATAAATAATAAAACAATCTATGCCAAAAAAATACGAATTTTATTGGTTTTAAATTTTGAACTAAAATTACAGATGGAGCACATTAACTACTATTTGTAAATAAGGTGACAGAATATTAAACACTGTGTTATATGAGTGAGGAAATAATCACAACCCTTACTGAATATATCAAGTATAAGGTATGAGGCTCTTAACAGACTGTATTTTTGGGGGGAGGACTCTAAGCAAATTTGGGTAGAACAGATGTCAATTGAGGATTCTGTTAACACTTTGTTCTTCATAAACATAAACTGTAATAAATAGTCACTAACCAATTTTATCTTTAAAGGCCACTTGTTTTGAGTGAGTTATTCCAGGAGTTGTATACAGCTTTGTTATGAGGAATTGCAATATTATTTGAATTTTGGATTCAGGATTTACTTTTATTACTTTAGTAATACCAACAAAGGTGATGGATGGTACATGGAATAAGGACTTCAGAGACCTGAGTTTTACTATCTTAGTAAAACTATTTTAGTCTCTTAGGTCTGTGATACAGAGGCATAAAGAAATTCCAATCTTAAAAGCCTTGAGGAAAGTTGTTAACATTTATTGATAGTAGAAAGAAAGTGAAAATATGCAAATGTCTTCTGTTATCTTGAAATAAAGATAAATTTGAATTAAACTGCTGTGTTAGTTTAGATTTATGTTGAGAAATTTAAACTCTACAACATATTTCCATTTTAAATATTAAGTGGAATCAATGCTTAAAACTATAGTTAATACTTAGTAGAATGAAAATTTAAGCCACCTATTGGGATAATGTATTAGATTGTCATGATTAGTTTTTTTTTTCTGGATGCCAGGTTTTCACATGTTTACCAGATAAGCTCACCTTTAACAGTTGGTATACAAATTTACATGGTTTTTGATAAATATCCAATAAACTTGGAAATTTGCTTTCAAATTTATGGGTTTTAAAAACTCCACTGGGTACTTGCTATCTGGTTCAGGCATTGAAAAAAGTATAAATCCTAAGGTAAATAATGATCATATTTAAACATAGGCCTTATTTAGCAAAGCATAAAAACACTGATGGTTTATATAATGGCAGTATGAAAGTATGAATATGTCTAATGAAAAGTATGTATCTGTTCACCCAGAAAAACATACTAAAATTGAGTGTACATTGTCGTCAGAGTTTGTTCTGCATTCAAATGTCTTAGCTTGTAAGTGAATATGGCTAAGTAATTTCTGGTGCCATAAAAAGAACCTTCTTTGTAATTAAAAATAACTCTTCAAATAGGTTGAGCTGTCAATAATCGTACCCAAGCAAAACCAAATGGCGTGTGTTTGTGCTTTTTGCTGTGCTATGGCATGCCATGCAGTTAGCACACACACCTCTTTAAGAAAAGTGAGATTGTCCTAGGAGTGCTGCAGAGATGCTCTCAAGGAACATGCCTGTTTTAAGTTCTTAAAAAATGTACCCACCTCATGCTCACATCTTAGCCACAGTAGCTTTTCCTTGGTTTCTAATTTAACTTTCTACTCCTTGGCCGGATTCTTCCATGGTCTCTACTTTGTCTCAAGCTGAGAAGGGCTCCTGTCATTTGTGATTTTCTCCTGCTTTTCTGTCATTTCACCAGTGTTAGAAGTAAGAGCTGCTTCTGTGGTCGGTACAAAAGAAGCTAGTCTCTCTTCCTAGATAATGCCTACATACTTTTAGTGAAGCTGAAACCCTCTGGTACATTCTTTTCTCTTAAATGTGCCAGACTGCCGGTCTGGCAGATGAAATCTGCCCTCCGAGAAACAGCCCAGGAACAAGCAAAGTCCCTCAGGTGCCTGGCCTTAGGCTCGGGCCACATCTCTCCTTTCAACTCTAGTTCTTTCGGCACAACTTGTAATCTAATGCAACGAGGGCTCCTCCTGAGATGGCTTAAGACCCTGGAGAGCCCCTAGGTTCATCAACTGTTAGAGCGTGGTCTCTGCCAAAGCATTTGAGGCACAGGTGCTGAAGTTTTTTTGTTTTTTTTTTTGAGTTTGGGTCTCACTCTGTCACCCAAACTGGAGGGTAGTGGCATGATCACTTTTCTCAGCCTCCCCAATAACTGGGACTACAGACGTTTCTCCATGCCCAGCTACATTTTTAAGCTGTAATGTTTATATTTGTCTTTCACTGTATACTACGCTGAAAAGGCAATAATCCTCATTAAGAAAGGACTAAATTACAAGTGATCTGGGAGTGTGAGACTATCCTTCACACTTACAGTGTTCTCCTATTTTTCCTTCCTCAAATGCTGTATACGGTGCTTTCTATTGCACTTTGATGGGGATGAGCCCCAATTTTTTTAAAAGATACTTTTAGGAAGAATTGTGCACAGAAATAGTCCTCAGAGCTGACCACAGAGAGACTTTTCCAGGCATCAGAAAGACCTGGGGAGTCGAGAGGAAGAGCAAATAGGTTGTGCAACAGGCACAAGCAACAAGCTAGGAACGAAGAAAGGTCTAGGAGCAAAGGGAGTAGGGAAGTGGACTTTGGAAGGGATGTGAATAAGCAAAGTGTCTGCAATTGCACAAACTCCTGGTGTAGTCACGCTGTGCCACACCCCAGAGAGTGCGGCTGTTGGGCCTCCCAGGCCCTGCCTCCATTGGGATCTACTGCAGCTGCACCGGATGTGCCGCTCGGTCCAGCGGAATGCTCACCCTGGGGATGACGGCCCAAGCGGGGCAGAGAAGGAAAATGCGTGCAGCCTTTAATCTGAGTCAAGGCTATAGATGTGAAGTGCCCCAGAGAGCCGGGCTCCCAGAGAACTCCTTCCAGCAGCGATGACAACTTGATTCTGTAAGGGACACAAAACAGAGTTCATAGTTCATTCATAGCCTCTGTTACGCACTTCCTGTAGTCCAGGCATTATGCTACACTCTGGAAATCAAAAGACGAAAGAGACACTGGCGAGATCCCAAGACTTGAACTTAAATGCCTTTCCCTTTGTTTTTACACCACCACCTCAGATATGTAGGTTCTAAAAACCACAGCTGAGGACGTTCACCCCAGTCCTGTCTAGACATAAAGAATAAAGAAGTACGTCAGTGCTTGCTTACTCCAGAATTCAAGTTGTGGTACAGTATAGACGACATACCTCAAATAACAAGGACTTCCCCAAGGGCTGCCTTTGTCAGTGTGTTTATAGCACCTCCTACCCACTCTGCTGCTTGAAACATTTTAGGACTCATCTTTCTGAACTGCCAGATTTTATTTGTAGAAACTGCCACAAGTTATCCTGAGCCAAGGCTGGCAAGTAAGGTATCTGACTAATAGTGTTTTGGTCAGAGCAGACTCTGATAGTTTCTCAATGATTAAATTTTGGAAACTACTAATGAAATCCAGGATTAATAATAATAATGGCTAAAATTTACTGAGCTTTTACCATATGTCAGATACTCTACTTTGCCCTTTGCTTATATCATCTCTTAATATCCCAGTGTCATTAAAAGAGAAAAGTTTAAACTTTATTTTAAGTTAATTTAAAATTTAATTTAAATTTATGAAAAATAAACCAAATAGTAATTTTTTCTCTCTCTCTTCCCTGATTTGTGGAATTACTCATTTATTCAATTTGTCTGTGCTTTGGCTATGAACTAAGTCTCCTCTCCATTTACTGGTCAACCATGTTCATTTCTAAAGTCAATTCTTCCCTAGCTTCCTGCCCTCAGAGGCTAGTCATCTTTCCAGATGCAGCTCAGGGCTCATGAACTCTGCAAGACTTGCCTTCCCTGACTGCCAGCATAGACCTCCACTGCAATTGCTGTCTGACCTGCCTTTGGCTCTTCTTGGTCACCATATATTGACCTGGTTGGTCTTATGGGCATGTTTTATTTTTCTACTTAGACTGCCAGCACCTGGTCACCAGGACCACATCTCAGGTTTCTTTGTCTACCTCTCTGATGCTTAATATAACACTGCTCACAACACACTTGTTAGTTACTGCTCCTCTGAGTCTCATGAGCTAACAGGAGGCAGTCCATGAGAGGTTTCAAACATACGAAGACAGTGACAGCACTACTTAAATAGATGCTGAGTTCCAACTCCAGTTTGTTCCTGCCAATTTCATTACTTAATGCTCACATGTGATAGGAAGAGGAATCTTCAAAATCATACAGTTATTCAAGTCTTGGTCAAAGGTCAATTTGATCATCTTTTTGCTGGAGTGCAGTGGTACGCTCAAGGCCACCACAACCTCAACCTACTGGGCTCCGGCAATCCTTCCACCTCAGCTTTCCAAGTAGCTGGAACCACAGGCATGCACCACCATGCCCACCTAATTTTTTGATTTATTGTAGAAATAAGGTCTCACCATGTTGCCCAGGCTGGTCTCAAGCCCCTGGGCTCAGACAATCCTCTCACCTCTATCTCCTGTAGTGCTGGGATTACACAGGCGTGAGACAGCATCCCTGGCCTGATCATCTTCTGATTGTCAGGGTCTTGTTGTTGTTGTTGTTACTGTTTTGAGTGAGGGTTTCACTCTGTCACCCATGATGGAGTGCAGTGGCATGATCACAGCTCACCGCAGCCTCGTCCTCCTGGCTCGGGTGATCTACCTCTGCCTCCCAAGGACTACAGGTATGTGCCACCATATCCATCTAATTTTGATTTTTTGTAGAGACAAGGTTTCACTATGTTTCCCAAACTGGTCTCGAACTCCTAGGTTCAAGCCATCCTCCAGCCTCAGCCTTCCAAAGTGCTAGGATTATAGGCTTGAGTCACTGCACCCAGATGTCCATTTTTAAAAGATAATATCTGATTTATCTTTATACGCAGAGTGCTTCAGTGTCCCAATCTCAGGTATGCGCTAGAAAAGTGATTTTTTTTTCAGTCAGCTTTCTCAGGTTAAAGAAAGTGAAATAATTTTAATAAAACCCAAGTGAAATATAATTAGGAAGGTGCATTTGCAATGTTTTACAGAAAGGCATCAAATATAAATTATTTTATAGATGATCTATATATGTCACTACTCTCTCTATATAAATTATTTTATAGATGATCTATATATGTCACTACTCTCCTCAATTGATTTAAATCACGGTTGATACATACAGTTTTTATTAAAATGCATGGGTTCTTGATGTCTAAGTTTTAGAAAGATAAATAAAAGTTTAAGAAGCCAAGTTTGTGCTATAAAGTATTCCTGTTATCAGACCTTTTGAGAAGCCTCCAACAACGATAATCCATCTTTTTTTTGTGGTTAACCCTATAGTTTTTGCTATCAGACTTGCAAGTAAATGGATCACTTAAATTTTTGGCCACTAGAGGGCAGCTTCGCCACGTCTTTCAAGCAGGAACCTGGTCCACAGCACTTACCAAGTCTTTCACTCTATAATCAATGAAGGCTCCCCCAGCCCTTCATCCCACAGTTAATACTTATTCTTCACACTACTTGTTGGCATTTAATCCTATACTCATTTGTATTTTTATTTAACTTCCCATGCATACAAATCGTATTTTTCAAGAGTGAGGACTTTGCTATCTCTTTGTTTATATCTCTTACAGCCTAGCACAGTTCTGTACAAAGAAATACTAAAATAGATGGATGAATAGAATCAGTAGTGTAGAGGTATTTTTAAGGTAAATCTCTTTTATCTGATGTATCTATTAAAATTTAAAATGTGCACCGGGCATGGTGGCTCACGCCTGTAATCCCCACACTTTGGCGAGGCTGAGGTAGGAGGATGGCTTGAACTCAGGAGTTCAAGACCAGCCTGGGCAACATAGTGAGACCTTGCCTCTACAAAAAATTAAAAAACTAGCCGGTGTGGTGGTGTGCACCCATAGTCCCAAATACTTGGCGGGGGGGGGGGGGGGGATGTGGAAGGACTGCCTGAACCCAGGAGGCCGAGGCTGTGGTAAGCCGTGAGCATGGCACTGCACTCCAGCCTGAGTGACAGAGTGAGACTCTTGGATAAAAATAAATAAATAAAATGTGCACACCCTTTGATCTTGTAGTACTACTTTATTTTTAAGTGTGCCCAGCTTAGCAACCCTTTTAAAATTCTCACCTGCAGGAATATTTGCTCAATTATACAAAGATATAGGGCAAGAATGCTCACTACAGCATACAACAGTTAAAAAAAAATGGAGATCACCTAAATGTCTATGAGAATGTGAACTGAAGAAATAAAATATGGTGGTTCCTGACAACAAAATACTATGCAGCCATTAAAAAGAATCAAACGGCCTGGTATGTACTTTGTCTGGAAGGAGGTAAAATATAGTACATAAAAGTAAAACAATGACAAGGATGTGTGTGTGTGTGTGTGTGTGTGTGTGTGTGTGTGTGTGTGTGTGTGTGTCTACAGTCATACAAAAACTGAAAGTCTGGGAAAACAGCCAAACATTAACAGTGGTTATCCTATAGGACAAGGGTTGGCAAACATTTTTTGTTATGGACCAGATAATAAATATTTTAGGTTTTGTGGAACATCAGTCTCTGAAACAGTAAATCAGTTCTGCCACTGTAACACATGATAGCAGCCATAAGATGGTAAGTACCAAATGAATGCAGCTATGTTCCAATAGAACTTTGTTAATGGACACTAAAATCTGAACTTCATGTGAATTTCACACACCACAATGTATTCTGTTTTGATTTTTGTTCCCACTATTTAAACATGTGATGACCATTTTTAGTTCATAGCTTATACAAAAACAGAGGTGCCATCCTGTGGGCTGTAGTTTGCCAACCCTGCTGTAGAAGATAAAACAGGAAGAGTAAAAAGGGGAACTTTCCACCAAAAAATAGTGACGGGATAATGTGTAAATGTTTCTTTTTGTGTTTACCTCTTTTTTGAAATTAAAATTAAAATTAAAACAAAAAAGTGAGATCTCAGCCTTAGAACAAACGTAAGCATCAAAAAAGTGCAGTCCTTGTGCTTACCTTCTCCTTGGACTTCACGGTGATCATTGAGCTCCCAAATCTTGAGCTGGCCTGCAAAACACACTGCCTGTTAATGGACTTTGGAAAACACGCCATGGTATTTCATCAGTTTTATCAAATAAGGAAAGGGCATTTTTTTTAGTTTCTTTCTTCAATCCTTCAGGAGGTACTTACTTCAGGAGAAGTCAATACATATTGGGCCTGAAAGAAAAAATTGGGGAGAAAGTGAGACAATATTATTGTTGTTTATATGCTTTTTTAAAACCAATTTGAATTACACTCTTACACTCATATTTTACATTTCTTGGTTAGTCTTACAAATGTGTATTTCCTTTGACCCCAGAAATTTTACTTACAGGAAAAGAGCTCAGAAAAATAATCAGAGGTATAAAAAATGATTATGTGAATATTTACTATCACTGTTTATAACAGTGAAAATTAAAAATGGCTTAAGTGACTAATGACAGTTACTTAAATAATGGGTAAATAAATTATGATTTATCCATAGATAAAACACTAGGCAGCCAGTGAATATCATATTGCATAAGAATATCAGATAATATAGAAAAGTGTGCTTGATATCTTGTTGGGTTAAAAAATAAGTCACAAAATTGTGCACCAAATTATGTGCAATATGATCACAACTGTAATAAAGTATATATATGGTATAATAGTTAGAAGCAGATCTGGGTTCAAATCCCTGTTCTGCCATTTTCTAGTAGTATGACCTTGCATAAACTACCTCTCTGATCTTCAATTTCTTTATTTGTAAATGGCAATAATATTAACCCCATAGCTTTAATGTGGATTAAATTACATATAGTGCTGAGCATGTACATAGTAAATGCACAATAATTTAAATCCATAGAAAAAATACTAGAAGGATTCACTGTAATGGTTAACAGGTATTAGCTCTGGAGAGTGGAATTCTAGGTAGATAATTTCCAATTTTCTTCTTTGTACTTTTTTGCATGTGCTAAAATGTTCACAGTAAACTTTCATTAATTTTCAATTAAAAATAATTTTTAAATTAAAAAAATAACAGCCAAAGGTTTTAGATCCAGGAAACATAACTTAAGGGAACTCATCTGAGAAAAGGAACAAAACAAAGCAATGAAACGAGAAATGAAAGAGTGGAAGTTTTAATGAAACCAATGGCCATGGCCTGCTTTCTTTCTTCTGCTGCAGGTGCTTACCAAGCAGCAGCAGGCTGTGATCAGGGACCAACATAACACCAAGTCCAGCAGGATTTTAGCCCTGGGGGCAAATGCTGCAAAGCTACAAAAATTACAGACAGCTGACGCCTACAGAACATGGGCACGTAATTGTGATATGACTCCAGGACCTATGAGTTCAGGTAAAAATTGTAAGAGTTTTATAGTGAATGTCAACAAGAAATCAGCAATTAATGATCATTTCCTAACATGACACAGAATTTTGTAGGACACTTTACCTTTTCTTCTGGACATGGAGTTATCCATGATTTGCATTTGCCCGTCATGTCACCAAGGGTAGTGTGTCTGCCATTATAGACATAAACTCGGCCATCTTCTCCCCCAATCAGTCCAGAGGTTACATCTGCTATCCTCAGCGGGGCTGCCATGATGATTTCATCTGTAAACATAAAAGCCAGCAGAAGGAAGTCTCTGTCATCTTTTCCTCATTCCACTACTGGATCCTAACTCAACCTCCTGCAGATCATATTAGCACCTCCTTGAAACAGTCTGCCTTGATTTCATCCTGGCAAAGTCGAAGGCTTTTATTTCCTGTTTCATGATTCATCAATAACAATTACCATGAATGACGCTCATGCTGCCACCTTCAAGACATCCAACTCCCTCTTGTACATCAGGCTCTGGTCTTACCTGATTCAAAATCTGTCTAAAGGCTCTTGGGCCACTGGGCTGTTAATTATGAGGGCAGAGCCTCGAGGATCCAATTAGGGGACTGGTCCATTGGGTAAAGGGACTCAATTCTTGGCAAAAGGTTCTGCTCCTTTCTCACCCAAGCCATCATTATCCAAGTCACTCAAGTGCAGAACACCACCAAACCGTGAGAAGCGGCGGTCTCCACTGAAGGTGCTGAGCAGCGGAGGCTGCGCATCAGATGTGAGTGCATACATTCGGGTGGTTCCACCCTGGTGCAAGGTCATGGTCAGGAACGCCATCTTAGACACATCATCTGAAATGAACCACAGTGCCTGCTGGCATCACAAGAGTGAAGCTAAGATACAGAACACAAAATAGAATACCATTCTTGCATCGTGCTTGCATACCTCAAGTGATGCCAATCAGTCAACCCTACAGGACAATCGATCTCAGTGCTGGTCAACTCTGGCAGTGAGGGAGACATAACTAGCTTGAGCACCAAGACACAAACATTGGAGATGCTCAGTGATTTCCCACCACACAAGTGTTTCTTCTTCCAGGCTTACCCCCTCCAGTACCTCCTCCACACAACCATCTTTTTATTTTCTTACATCAAAAATTGCCTATGTCACTCTTCTGACTTACACATCCAAATGGAAGTGGACTATGGATGGAGTCCAAACTCTTCCCAAGGCCTTACGTAATCTGACTCCCACACAGGGCTCTAGTGCTACTTCCCTCTTTCACCCATAATGACCCTAAACCACCGCCTATTCTATTGTGAAAATCTGGGCCTTAGGACAGAATGTTCTCTCTGTCTGGAATAGACACCATTCGCTCCCCTGATTCCTGCTTATCCTTCAGAACTGGGCTTAGGTGTTCCCTCCTCAGGGAAGCCTTTCTTGACCTCGCTGGTCTAGAGTAGACACCACTTTCTCATGCTCCTGTACCACACTGTGCCCAGTGCCTTCCTGGTACCCACTACCAGGCAGCATCACTTCCTGTCACTTCTGTGTCTCCTGCATCAGGCTGTCATTCCATAAGCAATGGGGTCATGTTTCTGTCTTTCTATCCACTGCACCCTAGCATGGTGCTTCATTCCACACAAGTACTCAATATGTGGTTTTTCAGTTAATGAACTTTGAACAAATTCAAAACAAAGCTAGCTGTTAGGTTTTTGCCTGTAAATTTACATTTGGAACACAGTTTTGGTTTCAGAAATGTAAGGCACTTCTGGGGTTGGCAGTCCTCTGAGAGGCTCACCATGAATAGGCAAAGTGTCAGTGAGTGGTTATAACCTCATAGCAGTATTCATTTAGTATTGTGTGTAAAAATTAGCTAGACATGATGATATGTGTAGCTCCAGCTACTTGGGAAGATGAGTTGGAAGGATTGCTTGAGCCCAAAAATTAAAAACCAGTCTGGGCAACATAGCTAGACTCTATCTTTTAAACAAACAAAAAAAAGTATAAAGAAGAAAATGTATATACCATATACCTTTCTTTCTAGAGAGAGTGAGATGGATAGATAGATCTATACATGCACATATTTTAAGCAAAATGGAGATTTTTGTGGATGATAACATTTTATTTTTTATTTTTTTGAGCTGGAGTCTCATTCTTTCACCCAGGCTGGAGCACACTGGCACACTCATGGCCACCACAGCCTCGACCTGCTGGGCTCAGGCGATCCTTCAGTCTAAGCCTTCCAAGAAGCTAGAACTACAGGCATGCACCACCATGCCCGGCTAATTTTTTGTTTTATTGTAAAGATGAGGTCTTGCCAAGTTGCCCAGGATGGCCTCAAACCTGTGGGCTCAGGCAATCCTCTCACCTCAGCCTCCTAAAGTGCTAGGATTATAGGCTTGAGTCACCATGCCCAGCTGGTAAAATTTTTAATTTGAATTCTTTTTCACATTTAGGCTATTTCTAAGTTTTTACTATCATAAATAATACAGCCATCCCTCAGTAACCATGGAGGATTAATTCCAGGACTCCCCATTGATACCAAAATCCATGGATGCTCAAATCTCTTATGTAAAATAGTGTAGTATTTACATTTAACCTACGCACACCCTCCCATACACTTTAAATCATCTCTAGATTACTCATAACAACTAATACAATGTAAGTGCTATGTAAATTGTTGTACCATATTGTTTAGGGACTAATGACAAGGCAAAAGTCTATACATATTCAGCACAGATTATCCATATTTTAAAAAATATTTTATATCCACAGTTAGTTGAATCCATGGATATGGACACGACCAATATACCGGGCCAGTCATACTGTGATGAACATCCTTTCCCACAGTTCTGAGTATTTTCTAAGAACACAGAAGGTGTCCACATAGAATGTATATTTTTTAAGGCTCTTGTCTGTCAAACCTCTTTCTATAAAAGGTCTATCAATTTATATTTTGCCCTCAGTGTCTGAGTCCTCTCCTCACCTCCACCTTGCAATCGTTTTGTTTTGTTTCAGGTTTTTTTGTTGTTGTTTTTTTTGAGTAGGGATATTACTCTGTTATCCAGGCTGCAGTGTTCTGGCATGATCATAACAATTATGGCTCACGGTAGCCTCAACTTCCTGGGTTCAGGCAATCTTTCCACCTCAGCATCCTGAGTAGCTGGGACTACAGATGCGTACCATCATGCCCAGCTAATTTTTTTTTTTTTGGTAGAGTCAAGGTCTCACTATATTGTCCAGACTGGTCTCAAACTCCTGGGTTCAAGCCATCCTCCTGTCTCAGCCTCCCAAAATGCTGGGAATACAGGCATGAGTCACTACACCTGGCCCACCTTGTCATCACTGAATAGTATTTTTTCATCTTGAAAGTACTTCATAGTTATCACTCAACACCCTAATATCCCCACTAAATATTTCAATTGTTTATAGTTGAACCAAAGGTTCTGCGACACAAAGACAGAGGACAGCGTGTCAGGGATGGGTCCATCTGAACTAGCTGCCTACATACTCAGCCTCAAGAATAGCATCCCCAGGGATACCCTAAAAGTGGTCAAAATTCTCAAATTCAGATGCACCCGTACCCTACAGCTGTGATTCCCAAACTGCATACTGAAGCATCTAAGTGAACTCACGGGAATGCTGTAGATATTTTGAAATTTTGAAGGTAACACCATGACATGCCTGACAATGCATGCACAACTAGGTGGAGGCTGGTCACAGAACACAAGAGCCCTGCATTCCTCTCAATTATGTCACATCTTTGCAAAGTTGCATGTTCAGGTGTTGTGATGAAATGCAGGTACAATGCAAAAATCACTGTGGATTAGGAAATGAGGGTAGTGGTATCTAACTTGATTCCAAGATTTGGGAAGGTGCGCAGTGCCCAAAAGGCATAAAGCTATTACGACATAAACACAGAGTGTGTGACCTATGTAGTCACACAGGCCCCATGTATAAAAGACCCTATGCTTCACTCCATGCTGTCCTGTCACCAACTTGAAATTATTCATATTTTTTTCTTTTTCCTTTTTTGTAGAGACAAGGTCTCACTACATTTTCCAGACTGGTTTCAAACTTCTGGCCTTAAGCAATCCTCCCGACTTGACCTTTCAAAGTGCTGGGATTACAGGTGTGAGCCACTATGCCAGTCTGAAATTCTTAATAATTTTAAACAAATGATCCTGCATTTTTATTTAGTACTGGCCCCAACAAATTGTGTGAGTAAAATATAAGTGAAATACAAGATAAAATGGGAAAACCTGAACAATCTTGGTGGACTGTATCAAACAATGTAAATAATCTGATTGTGACATTATGTTTTGCAAGATGTTATCATTGAGGAAAAATGAATCAAATGAGGTGGACCCCTGTTTTATTTCTTTTCTTTTCTTTTCTTTTCTTTTTTTTTGTAGAGACGAGGTTTCACTATGTTGCCCAGGCTGGTCTCAAACCCTGGGACTCAGGCAATCTTCTCATCTCTGTCTACCAAAGTGCTGAGATTACAGGCATGAGCCACCATGCCTGGCCTATCCTCTGTGTTATTTTTTATAACTGCATGTGAATGTATAGCTATCTCAAATTATAAAGATCTAATTATATATAAAAATATATATATAAATTAAGCTTTTTGTGTTCTGTTTTGTATTACAATTCATAATAGGGAAAAAGAAGCTCAAGTCTGTAATGGCACCAAAAACAAGAAAGTTTGGGAAGTTTTAATTCAAAGCACTTGGTAGAAGAAGTGGTGAGGAAAATAAAATATAAAATAGATAATGTGTGTTGTAAGAGCTTAGAAATCACTACCTAGACTGTAAAGAAAAATATTTTTAAAACCTATTCCAAATCTAAGTCAGCAAGTTTTTTGTTGTTATAATACTGTGTCCTGAATCATTCCTGAATGAAAAACTTAGTCATTCCTTTGTCTGATTCACTTCTACTTACTATTCAAATCTCTACCATACAATATGAAACAAATAAAAATCTGAAAAATGGTTTGACAATATGTAATAAGAGCCTTTAAAAATACTAGATCCTCTAGTCCAGGAAGTATACCTCTAGGAATCTATCCAAAAAACTAATCAGAAAGGCAGTCAAAGATTTGTGTACATGGGTATTCAATAATTCCTGATTCATAATAGTGTGAATTTGGAAATAATCTACATTTCCAGCAGGAGGATGATGTTAGTAAATGTTGACATGTGCATATAGAAAAACGTGCAATACAGGCATCAAAAATAATGTTTTAGAAGAATATTTGATAACATGAGAATGTATTCAAGATATACAATAAATCAAAAAAGTTAGGTGTGACAATGTTATATATACTATAACACTTACTTTTTTTTTTTTTTTTTTTGAGTTGGTGTCTCACTCTGTCGCCCAGACTGGAGTGCAGTGGCCGCTCCCGCCACCGCAGCCTCGACCTGCTGGGCTCCGGCGATCCTTCCGCCTCAGCCTTCCAAGTAGCCGGAATTTCAGGCATGTGCTACCACACCCGGCTGATTTTTTTTTTTTTTTATTTATCGTAGAGATGAGGTCTCGCTGCCCAGGCAGGTCTCAAACACACGGGCTCAGGCAATCCACTCACCTCAGCCTCCCAAAGGTGCGGGATTACAGGCTGAGCCACCGAGCCTGGCTTAAACTTACATTTTTAAAATCAGGGTAACAGGTGATTTTTTTTCTTCTACATACTTCCTTGTGTTTCCACAAATTTTCAAAATAAGTATGATTCACTTTTATAATCTGGGGGGGTAGTTTTTCTGTTGTGTGTGTGTGTTTTTTTTTAAACTCTCGCATAAAGTAAATAGTTTTTGTTTGTTTGTTTGTTTTGAATTGAAATCTCACTCCGTTGCCCAGGCTGGAGTGCAGTGACATACTCACAGCTACCCCAGCATCGACCTGCTGGGCTGTAGCAATTCTTCCACCTCAGCCTTCCAAGTAGCCAGAACTACAGGTGTATGCTACCACGCCTAACTAATTTTTTATTTATTGTAGAGACAAGGTCTCATCAAGTTGCCCGGGCTGGTCTTGAACCTGCAGGCTCAAGCAATCCACATGCCTTGGCCTCCCAAAGTACTGGGATTACAGGCTGAGCCACCAAGCCCGACCAGTAAATCATTTTTTAAGGATATGTCCCCATGGCTGGGTGCAGTGGTTCATGCCTGTATTCCCAGAATTTTGGGAGGCTGAGTCAAGAGTATTGCCTGAGTCCAGAAGTTTGAGACCAGCCTGGGTAACACAGTGAGACCTCCTCTCCACAATAAATAAAACAATTAGCTGGGCATGGTGGTGCATGTCTGTAGCACCAGCTACTTGGAAGACTGAGGAGGAAGGATTGCCTGAGATCAGCAGGCCAAGGATGCTGTAGCTGTGATTATTCATTGCCCTCCACTCCAGCCTGGGCAACAGATTGAGACCCTGACACCAAAAAAAAAAAAAAGTCCTCAGAGTGGCCCTATTCCTGGTGAACTGATTTATAAAATTCTTCTCTAGCTTTGAGCTCAATGCAATAGAGGCATTAAAAACACACTGAGTTACTCTCATGTGTCACTTTCAACAAGCCTTTGAAATAGATATTTATAATTCCTGTTTAGCAGACAGTGAAGATGGTGATACAAAAGTTCAGAGAGGTTAAGTAACGTCCCAAAGTTACACAGTTTGCTATTAATGAAAAAAGGAAATATTTAAACCCACCTCTGCCTGGCTCCAGATCTCACAACTTCTCCCCATCCGACGTGGCCAAGGAGCCACGTGACTAGAAAGAAGCCAAACTTCATGGTGCACGACCTACCATGTGTCGGGGCCCCAACCAGCAGCACTTGTGTTAGAGTCCCATTCATCAGCACATGCCCACTGGACAGGGAAGTACCCAGTTTCCCCATGTCCTGTGAAATGTAATAAATAATATTGTACCACAAGAAAGCTTTCTCTGTCACCTCCACTCTCCTGGGGTGGGAAAGGGTTGCCATACCTTGTCTCCAGAAATGGTAAACCAGCTTTGGCAGTTGGGTGGGAAGTAACCATACACCCTCCCAAGACTCCTTTTCTCGTCACGGTTGTGAAGCAAATGGCCCAGCCTAGAATGAAGCACACAGGGCTCAGCTGCCGGGATATGGGATTAAGAGCTGGCCAGGTATTCGGGTCCAAGGAAAGAAAATGCACCTCTCCCTTCTAGGCCTCCCTGCAGATTCTCTATCCCCGTGGTCCTAGGCCTGGAGGAGTGAATCCTGACATCCAGGTTCTCCTGATACCATACTGCCATTCTGCCTCCCAACTGACAGCAAAGTTGGGGATGCCTACAGCTATGGGTTTACCATTGTTGCTCCCCCAATTTCTATGCTGATGTCCTAACCCCCAGTGTCTCAGAATGTGACTATATTTAGAGACAGGGTCTTCAAAGAGGTGATTAAAATGTCATTTGGCAATGCAATACTATACGAAAATGACTGACAGTACTGGGAAACTATGGGGGGGGAGGGAGATGGGATTAACAGTAGCAAATATCTGTCTGGGAACAGGGAAACACCTCATATCAACAGGGTGCCTGAATGAAACATAATTGTACACCTAACCCTTAACTGTACCCCACAACATCATAAATAAATAAATAAATAAATAAATTTTAAAAAAATAAAAAATAAAGTGTCATTTGAGTGGACCCTAATCTAACATGGCTGGTGTCCTTAAAAGAAGAGATTGGGACACAGGCGCACACAGAGGAAAGACAATTTGAAGACACAGGGAGAAGCTAGCCATCTACAAGTCAAGGAGGGAGGTCACAGGAGAAATCAACCCTGCTGACACCTTGATCCTGAGCTGCTAGATCCCAGAACTGTAAGACAATAAATTTCTGTTGTTTAAGCCACCAAGTCTGTGGTATTTTCTTATGGCAGTCCTAGCAAACTAATATACTTTACCTTTTTTTTTTTTCTTTTTTCTTAAAACATGATCTCACTCTGTCACCTAGGCTGGAGTGCAGTGGCACAACCATAGCTCTCTGCAGCCTCGAACTCCTGAGCTCAAATGATCCTTCCATCTCAGTCTCCCAAGTAACTAGGACTACAGGCATGTGCTACCATGCCTGGCTAATTATTTTTATTTTTATTTTTATTTGTGTAGAGATGGAGTCGTACTACATTGCCCAGGCTAGTCTCAAACTCCTGTCCTCAAGTAATCCTCCCATCTTGGCCTCCCAAAGTGCTGGGATAACAGGAATGAGTCACCATGCCTGGCCTTGTGATTTAAAGGTTCTAAAGAGAATTTGCAACCTTGCCTCAGTCTGGACTTTTCCTTGGAAGGGCAAGATTTTCCCAGTCCTTTTCCTAAGCCCCACACTCAATAGGTTCTACAGCAGCAGGGGGGCACCTGCCCTGTGCTCATTGAGTCCTGGGCCCCAGCATCAACCTCACCTGCTGGCATTCTTCCAGGTTGGGCTCCCAACCAACAGCAAGGTTCTGTTTTCCACAGTGACACCGTGAAGGGAGTATCCAAACCAGGCGAAGTCCTCCTCACCTCTCATCATCCAGTCGGCTGCCTCCACGTGCAACTCTTCTAAACAAGACAACCAGTCCCTTTCACTTTAGATGGGAGGAAGGCTGGGCTGGAAAGAATGGTTCCTTTTTGTAGTCTAATGAGAAATGGGTTCGATCTGCTGAGGTTTTGCTAGGACTCTCAGATGTCCCTATGCTGATCCTAGTATCCCAGCATCAGAAGTGGATCTCATGCTTATTATAGGAAACACACTTTTAGAGGTCGCTTCTGTGGACTGGAGGATGCTATTTTAAGAGGCCCTTCTCTGGACAGTCAAGAGCACCATGGGGATGCCCTTCATCCTAAGCCTCCTCAGTGTCTCTATGTCAATGGAGACACTATGGGAATAGCCTGTTGGCCCCTTTTGGATCTGGATCTAGAAGTTGGGTCCATTTTTGTACATTCAGTGAATTTATGCACAATACCTGCCAGAATGTCTTTAAGAGTAAGAGACTGTAGACAATTTTGGTGAAATGACATAGAATGAGGAAAAAGCACATAAGCCCATATGCAGAAGTCATCGCAGACGTATGGAGCAGTCATGGTCCCTGCCCAGTCCCCCATGTGGCACTACCTTTGTCTCTCTGGCTGGGGCCAGAATAAAATGCAGCCACAATTCCCTTCTGCTTCCCTCCACCTGGTGCAAAAGGAGAGCCAATCACCAGGTCGTGTTCGCTGTCTCCATCCACATCTGCAGCTAAAAGCGTCCAGCCCAAGTTACAGTAGATGTCCTTAAGAGGGAACCAGGAAAGCACATGTTACTCAACCCTGGCAGCAACTAGGATGCAAGTTCTAGATCTCTGTGCCTGGCTGAGGAGGTGAACATACCTGACAAGAGATGGTGATGTTAGGAGAAGAAGACATTCTCCCTTGTTTGGAACCAAAGTAGACATACACTGCACCCTAGACAAAAACAGACAGCAGACAGACCATGAGGCTCAGGTGTGACCCAAGAACTTTGAATAACAGCAAGACAAAGAGGACTGACTTTGAAGTAAGTCATCACCATCCCTGATGGTCGGGAGCTTAATGATCAACACAAACCCATCCTGTGCATTGCTGGTCAACTGAAAGGATTTTTTTAAAGCCTGTCATTTCCATCAGACAATGTACTTCCTAATTTTAAGTCATTTTATCTCGCCTCCCCAGTGTCTTGTTCAGGTTCTGCCATACATAATTGTGCAGTGTGTTTGCAGAATGACTTGCTGACCTCCTCCCTGACCTCAAGGCCCAACACAGTTTCTGGTTCTTCCACAAAGCCTTCCCTGACCTGGCCCATTGCACCCCTGAACACTAACATACCACTCGTTTGCCAGGGGACACATGCGGTGCTATTTTATTCTGTGTTATGAATCAGTTCAACTTGTCTGTCTCCATCCTCATTCATTCTATAAGCACTTACTGTCCACCATGACCCAGGGACTAGGTACACAATGACAAGACCAATCTCTGTCCTCCAGAAAAGCTGGCGGACAGGTAATTATGACGCTGCAGGGTGGATGGGGCTACAATAGCTGTAAGTACAGGATGCTACTGAGGACAGTGAAGTATCGGCCTCACCCAGAGGTTAGATAAAACCTCCTGCAAGAAATGACATGTCACTCCTAAAAAAAGACAGAGAGAAAGGGCTTTGCAGGCAGAGGAAGCTGTATGAGCAAGGGTCCTACAGTGAGGGAGCTGATGGGTTCAGGAAGTGACAAATCATATGCAAGTCTAGAAATGGAGTGTGAGGAGGAAGGGGCAGGAGGGCAGCAGGCAGTGAAGTGCCTTTGACCTCCAGGGTCACAGATGCCTGAGCCCTGCTATGGCATGAAGCACACTCGAGAAGAGAGCTCTGCGAGTCAGGTCTGGGATCTCTGCCTCTAAGAAAACAGGGGAGTCTGGGTTCCCTGCATGAAAGAAAAGGTTCGGGAAAGTCACCTCCCTGCCACGAAGATACAGATTCACTGAGATTTCTGTCTCCCTTCACTAGCATTCAGCACGGTAGGGGAAAGAAAAAAAGAGTGAAGTACTGGTAGAATTGAGAAACTGAGGCCAAAATAAGGCCAGGGAGGCAGGAACAGATGCCACAAGGTAATCCGAGGTCACCACAAGTAACCCAGTGGGAGCTTGAGATCATCTACCCACAATCGCTCTGACACACTGGCTCTGTGCATTGTTCCAGGGGCTCCCCCAGTGCTGGTCTCCCTCAGGCACCCCTCTCTTTCGGCCCCATCCTTCCCCACCCAGCAGTCTTACTTTGTATGTGAGCTGCTCAGAGCCCACTGAGGGAGCCCCCACGGCCAGGTCAGGCACACCATCCTTGTTAAAGTCCAACACAGCCAAGGCAGAACCGAACCGACCTGAGGGCTGAAGAGGCACAAGTTACTTCTCCAGGGCTGAGCCACAGCCTTCAGAAGAGCACTCTTGGCTCCCTGGGAGGAGAGAGGCCACCCACCGCACCTCCATTACCCAAAGGTGGGGCACAAAATGGCAGCAACCTATAACACACCTGCAGCACATCAGTTGGGTAGCTAAATACGTTTGGCATGTCTGTCTGCCTTGAGGGGAAGTGGAAGGATCAGAAAATAGGAGGTAGACACTTTTTTTTTTTTTTTTTTGAGTTCGAGTCTTACTCTGTTACCCAGGCTGGCATGCTCATGGTCACCGCATCCTTGACCTGCTAGGCTCAGGCAATCCTTCCACTCAGCCTTCCAAGTAGCCAGAACGACAGGTGCAAGCCACCACGCCCAGCTAATTTTTTGATTTATTGTAGAGACAAGGTCTTGCCAAGTTGCCCAGGCTGGCTGCAAACCCCTGATCTCAGGCAATCCTTTAACCTCGTCTTCCCAAAGTGCTAGGATTACAAGCTTGAGCCACTACGCCTGGTCTAGGGTCAATTCTTAAGAGTTCTCGGTTTATAGAAAATAGTCTCCTGTGGACTCCACCCCACATTAAGCACCAAATTCATCTTTGAAAGTGTCTAAAATAGGTTAGGCATGGTGGCTCATGCCTGTAATCTCAGCACAGTAAGGAGGCCGAAGGGAGAGGATTGCTTGAGCCCAGGAGTCCCAGACAAGCCTGGGCAACATAGCAGTATCTTGTCTCTACAAAAAGAAAAAAAAATTGGCCAGATGTGGTGGCATGCACTTGTAGTCCCAGCTACTACAGAGGCCGAAGCAGAAGCACCTCCTGAGCAGAGGAGGTTGAGTCTGCGGTAAGCCGCGATCACGTCACTGCACTCCAGCCTGGACGAGAGAGTGAGACTTCTACTCAAAATATAAATAAATAAATTGAAAGTAATTAATATTAAATAAAATTTAAAATTCAGTTCCTCAATTGGAATAGCCACATTTTAAATGCTCAAAAGCCTGTGCTTAGTGACTCCCACACTGGACATCATAGCGGTAGAATTTCTATGATCACAGAAAGCCCTGCAGGATAGTGCACTTTACATGGATTAAGGCAGAGACTATTATCTCCACTTCCACAGATGACAAGTGGAAGACTCGGTCTCTTCAGGAACAATTTTCTTCCAAGGTGGATCTTTTAGATCTTTCTTCTCCTATTGTCTAGAATCAGCCTAAAAGTAATTCATTAGGCTTTCCCATTCTTTCACTGCTGACATAACAATGAACAGCCCTTCATATATGGTGGTGCTTGCCACATAGCACACATGCCCAGTGCCCACATCCATTATTTATTGGCTAATCTCTCTACACCTGTGTGTGCAATGGCATTTATGAGCACTGCCCCTTTCTAAAAGGCAGAACTTGATAAACAAGAGAAGATTGCTTGGGCACACAAAGCACACTTGGACAGGGTGGGGACCAATAGCTAGGGGACCCTGCCAGCTGAGAACTGGTTCATTTCATCACCACCAGCTGCACCATCCAGCTCTTATGTGAGTCAGCCAGTCATCCCAAGAGGAACACAGAATTTTTCAGCAGGTTCATTATAGTCAGGGCCAGAGGGCAGGATTCCCATCCCTAGTCCATGTTTTAATCCTGCCATCTTCCAAATTATAAAGGTCACTGTAGGGAGGACAGCATGAGGCCACCTCCTTCCTCGTCCAAGGGGTCTTTGAGGGAGTTTCTCATCCACAGGAAGAGCTGCCTTTTTTAATCCCTATCTATATGCACCAAGAGGATTATACTTTACATGATAGGGAAACAGATTCGTAGAGAAGTAAGACAAAACAGGAACGGGGAGATTTATTTTGGAAATTTTTCATGGGATGTCAGAGGTCTTCAGAAGATGTGGGATTGTGGAACCATGGGACATTATACATTGGCCAATCAAGTGATTTTGTACATCTTGGATTCAGGGCTCCCTTTCATCAGAACCTAGACTAGATCATAAAACCTTGCATTTTTTTTTAAGTAAGTGCAGGCATGTCATCTTATTTTCTCTCACAAGATGGACTTCACAGCAAAAGGTTAAGTGGCTTGCTTAGAACAAGGGCCACAATCTGACCCAAAGTCTATGGTTGCTTCCCCTGGAGGTTGATGCTGAGAGCATACAGTGCCAGGCCAGTGTCACCAAAAGCCCCACATGCATCTGCAATTAGTAGCAGCACTCTGTCTGCCCCTCTTTATTGTTAGTATAAGGACTAATGTCTCTGATGTTTGGAGAGCCTTCTAGGCCCCTAGTACTCCCAAGAGGAATTCATGCTCAAATTCCATGGGGAACATCTGCACAGTCACTGTAGATTTTTCTGGTGATGAATAACCACTTAAAACAAAAGAAAAAATCCAAACAAAGTCTGAGTTTAATGAATAGCGACATACCAATGTTGTTTTTTTTTTTTAAACTTTTGGCAAGTATACCATAATTAATTAATATGTTAACATAGGAGAAAATGGGCAAAGGGTATATGGGAATTCTTTATATTTTCTTTACAACTTTTCTGTGACTCTAAAATTCTTACAAAGTTTTACAAACATAAGGAGGTTTTGCATTATCAAGAAATTTTGTCCCAACTAGCCTCTTATAGCAGTTGTAAATAGCATGTGTGTTTTGGAAGGTATTAAACTAAATACTCAAAGTAAATTTTAGAATGAGATAAATGACATGTACATGCTTTTATTTAGGTATTTTTATTTTTGTAGAAATGAGATTTTACTATGTTGTCTAGGCCAGTCTTAAACTTCTGGGCACAATCAATCCTCCCACCTCAACCTCCCAAAGTGCTGAGATTACAGATGTGAGCCATTGCTTCCAGCCTAACATGCTTTTAAAAATAAAAAGCGCTACCCAAACATAGGCCACCAGCTGTTTGTTACTATAATTTTTCTCATTACTGGTTATTCATCCTGGAGAATTTACCACGAAATGCCAGTAAGTGGCTACTGACCACTAAAAGAGATGGTGTCTCACCTGGAAGCCCTCAAGGATCCCATGGGCCTCCTTGTCCAGGTCCAGGTCGACGGGGGGCAGGCCCAGGTCATTGCCATAGATAACGTACACGCGCCCGATCTGGATGTGGCCAGGGTGGCTGTAGCCTGGTGCGCCCACCACAAGGTCACTGTGCCCATCCTGGTTGAGGTCAGCCGAGGTCATTGCCCTTAGAGAAGAGGAGGAGGAACCCGCTGCAGCCCCCACTGAGCATTAGAGGTAAAGCTGTCTCCTGTTTCTTTCCTTTCTAGAACCCCATGTTTTAACTTTCTTTCAATGATTTTTCCATCACGCATGACTGTTGTGAATATTCACTTCTGAGGTTGTACTGCTTGTGCGATTCAATCTCGTTTTTCAAAGAGACAAACAGAAGAAAAATGGACAAATCAAGACCTCAAGCAATTCCAGACCACATAACCTAAGCAGATGAAAAGCATCTTCACAAACATCTTGTCCTATATGCAAAACACAGAGCAGCCAAAGTGCAACCCAGGGCTCACCCTGAGAACAGAGAAAATTCACATCCAGCCATATCCTCCAGCCAATAGTGCAGACCAGTTTCCAATAACTCACTTTAGTGTGCTACCTGATCAAAGAGTAGCTTGTGTGAAATACACTATTTCCACCATAGGTACATAGGGGGCCTGGTACTGGGTTAAATCAAGTGTCCAAAATTTTATGTATATATGTATATATATGTATGTATTAGAGTCGTGGTCTCACTCTGTTGCCCAGGCAAGAGTGCAGTGACATATCATGGTTCACCACAGCCTTGACATCCTGGACTCAGGCAATACTTCCACCTCAGCCTCCCAAGTAGCCAGGACTACAGGTACATACACTATCTGCCTGGCTGATTTTTTAAGACAGATTTTTTTGTAGAGATGAAGTCTTGCTATGTTGCTTTGAATGGTCTCAAACTCCTGGGCTCAAGCTGTCCTCTCATTTCAGCCTCTCAAAGTGCTGGAATTACAGGTGTGAGCCATGACGTCCAGCCCCACCATATTTAGTGGATGTTCCTAGTGCGATTCCATGACTTACCAGCTATAGAGATGAACAAGCCGAGTCAAAGGTTCAAGTGTCACTACTGGGGCTGAAAATACTAAAAGTCTACTCTGGTTCTTATTGCCACATAAAGAATAAGTGGCACAACAGAGGGAAAGGGAAGAGCAGTTGGTCAAGGCTGGGTTGTCCCCATGTAGCCACCGCTGTTCCCTGCACTCCTGAGTTTCCACACTGGCCAGTAATGGCCCACAGGGAAAACCCTGGGGACAGCTGGCCCTGTGTGGCTGCCAGCCCAGCAAGAGGTTTCTTTGAGCTCTCTCAGGAAGGAGGCCAAGAAGAGCCATTATTCACAAGTGAAAGACCAGTAAAGACAGCATTCACCTCCCAGGCCCCTGCACTGGAACTGAATGCATTGGTGACCCCCTGAAAAAGAGTTGTTCTGAGGAAATGCTATACCATTTTGATTTAAATGTGTGGCTGTTTTTTTTGTTTTTTTTTTTAAAGGAGCTTTCATTAAACCTCCAGAAAAGTCAAGCGGGCTCATTTATGCTTGAATTTTAAAATCAAAGGACTCTCTAACATTTTCCTTATAACATTATCATGGTGTACCAGGCTTTTACCACAGGAAGTTACAATATCCAGATCACCATAAGAGCTATCTGCTTACATCCTTCTAACGTCATTAGTTGCAAAAATAAAAATCTGTAACAATGTATCTCCAAGAATATCAGAGCTTTATAAATATTCTTTGAAATACTACTTTATTGTGATTATTTGATAATGTGAAAACTTCTTGTATTTAAACATATCTGACCAGGTTTAAGGAGATAGCTTCATTCTTACAATAACTTAACCATTAAGATAATGCTTTCATTGATGATGAATTGATTGGAAAATAAGGTGCTACCAGGTACCATTTAAAACATTTGCTGAATGACTAAATGAAATTAATATTGATGAAAATGTTCACAAGTGAGATAAACATATACATACCACCCAAGTCTCGCGTAGGGAAATGACAAGAAGTAGGATGCTGAGGGGCTGGAGACATGCTTCCGGGACCCCCGAGAGTCACCTGTGAACATTGTCCTTACGTTCCTTTCCAGAGCCTGGTACATGAAGGATACGGAATCCTGAAATAAAAGAATTATTACAGTCTGATAAAGATACATGGTATAACCAACAAAGTTAACATTTTCTGTCAAAAGTACTGAAATTTTGTGAAGGAAATGAGTTCTTACATGTGCTAAAAAAGAAAACATCTGATGTAAGAACTCAGTACATACAAATAAAAAATAAATTAAAATATCGATTCCTGTCAACAAGTAAGATCACTTAGGATCAATTAGGAGAATGAAATCATACCCTCAACTCAAGCTGAGGAATGGTAAAGTTATAACCCTGAAGTGAGGTCAGGATTAGCCTGAGAAGAGTTAGCTGGGACTTATCCTGAACCAACTAAGTCAGGATGGTCTGTAGTGATTTGCAGAATCTAATGGAACAAAATAATTTTTGTGGACTAAATTTTTTTTAAAAAACAAATTTGTTCGATCTATAACTATAATTATATTTGTGTGTAAAGTATATACTTCTTTTTTCAAGCAAATGAATTGGAATACCAGGAAGCCAGAGATACCCTCCAAACCACACCCAACTTGAGATGCTGCTGTATTTGCTGCCAGGTAGGCATAAAAGAGTATGGGAGTTTCATGCTAGAGAATTGGGGGTGGGGGGACAAAGAGCCCCTCAGTTTGAGGAGCTGAATTGTTCTTAATGTGGTTACTGCAGAGATATAAACACAGACTGGAGTGGGGACTAGATCCATCCAGGTCCAGGGACACAACTCCAAATCCAACCAAGGGGGACATGAGACCAAACAAGGCTTCCCAGGTCTGCCCCAGCACAGAGCAGAATTGGCTCAGCGCCAAAAGGTGGCCCAAATAGCTCAGGATCTGGAGAAGCACAGGGTATGAGGACCTTGAAGGCAGGATCGTGCTTTCTAATCCTGGCAAGCTACACACAGAGTGCTCATCCTAAGGTTCTGACTTGCTTATTTATCCAGGAAGCATTTAATCAGCTCCTACTGTATGTTAGGCATCATGACAGACACTGGAAATATAAAGTCTCTCCAGCACAATTTTTTTTTTTTTTTTTGCAAAGGAGACAAATCCAAACAAAATGATAAGTATTTTGTTTGTTTTCCAGAGTCTTACTCTGTCACCCAGGCTAAAGTGCAATGGCACAATAACAACTCACCACAACCTTAACCTCCTGGGCTCAGGCTATCCGTCTGCCTCAGCCTCCCAAGAAGCTGGGACTACAGGTGGGCACCACCACACCTGGCTAATTTTTAAATTTTTTTGTAGAGACAATTCTTACTATGTTGCACAGGCTAGTCTCGAACTCCTGGACTCAGGCAATCCTCTCACTTCAGCCTCCCTAAATGCTGGGATTACAGGTGTGAGCTACTACTCCCAGTCTGATAAGTGCTTTGATGGAAGTTCCCAGGTCCAGGATCAGCTACACAATTTAAGGAGGCCAGTGCAAAATAAAAATGTAGACCTCTGTAGTCAAAAAATATTTTAAAATTTTAAAGCAGTGACACCAGAGAATTAAATCTGACTAATGGACCTCTCTGTGTGACTGCACAAGTCAAATACCTCTGAAACTGGCTCTGCCCAGGCTCTTGCCCAATCCCAGAGACACTATTCACAAGTCCAGTCTAAAGACTTCTCCCGACATTAAGAGCCACTACAACACAATGGTTATTTACCTTCCCAAGCCTTTCACAGTAACTTGTATCCCTTGTCTTGTATTCCAGGCAATGAAACTACTCAGATTTCCAAACATCCTGAAACTTTCCTAACCCACTACCAGAATTGTGATGAACTATTATGTACTGTTCAGGCCAAACTCAAATACCACCTCCTCTATGAAGCCCTCTCTGATAGCCTCCAAGGTAAAAATTTTCTCCCTGCTATCTAAAAATCCCCTTATCTCACCATGATATTTGTTGTACTCTGCTCACATAATGTTTTATTTTTTATATTTGTCATCCCACTGGGCTGAAATTATCTTTTTTTTTTTTACATTTTTTTTTTTTTAAGAGATAGGATTTTGCTGAGTTGCTTAGGCTGGAGTACAGTGGCTCACTGTACTCACTGAGGCCTGGAACTCCTGGGCTCAAGCAACCCTCCTGCCTTAGCCTCAGTAGCTGGGACGACAGGCATGTGACACCACTGCTGGCTTAGACTGAAATTTTCTAAAGGTCAGAGTCTGTTTCCCTTTTATTTTGTATCTCTAACCCCAACCCCTGGTAGAGTATCTTTACCTGAAAAGATAATGTGTATGGACTGGATACTAGATATCATGGAATTATTGTTATAGAATTACTGTCTTCTTAGTTGTGTTAATGGTACTGTAGCTTTCATAGGAGATTGTTCTTACTCTTTAAAAAAATTTCTAATGTAATTAGGGGTGAAATATGATGGCTAAACTTATTTTAAAACATGCATCCAAACGTGTTTATAATTTAATTATTTTATAACATATTTATGTTAAAATGTTTTAAGTATGTTTTTATAATATTTAATAATCACAATATCCATGTTTAAATGTTTTGAAATGTTGTATATATTATAAATATTATATTGTTATATGTTATACATTTATATGTATTTATATATACATATCTGTGGGTATATATAGGTAAATATATATTCAATATAATTGTTGAATCTAGATGAAGGATAAATTGTGTCTTTTTTTAACTGCCATTTTATTTATTGGAAATGTTTCATATTTTAAAAAGTTGTGGAGATGTGTATGGCTTTCCCCTCCGATAAAAGAAAAAAGAAAAACCCCTCATGGACAAATTTCATACACAATGGTATTCCTCAGCATGGGGCTAACACACTTGGGACCAAGCCAAAGCAGGACAGGGCTGGGTGCCCAGTGTCACCCTGGACTCTGCCGGACTTGCCACTAAGGTCCCCACCACATATGGAGACTCAGGGCAAATCAGGAACAAACCACTTATGGAGAAAAGAGTACTCCCTAGCCTGGCACATGCCCAGGTGACTTTCCATGGACAACTAAATATCCAGGGACTCTACAAAACACAAGCAGCAGCAAGAAGCTGCCTTCTCAATTTAAAGCAGAAAATTCCTACCGGAGTCCAGGAATCTACACTAAAGAACACTCCTCTTTCAGTATAGTTTATCTTTCTTTCAGTATCTTTAGTTAGGGATGTAGTCACATTTCTGTGAAATTCATTCTTCTGCACTTTTGAGCTGTTGAAGAAAAAGAGGAATAAACTGGTTAAGACTGAAAAAACAACTAACCCCTTCAATAGCTGAGTTGAAGAATATGGTCAAGTTAATCATAAGTTAAAAGACCACAAAATTTTAATATCTGAAGTCTGAAGGAGGAACAACATGAAAAATAACATTTTAGAAAAAACTTCAATTCCACAAATTATTTTAGCAAACACATTTCTAAGACTTAAAAGCCCACCCTTTAAAAAAAATATACTCCCATAATCTCAAAGTTCTACACTAGGAGTAAAAGGTTTCAATTATTTCCAGATTATGAAAAAATTAAAGATATTTTAATATTTCACATAAAAATAAACTGGTGTATATTGGTAGGAAAACTAGTATGTAGCATACTGACTACATACATGCTACAATAAATTAAAGACATGCTACAATTAATTATACAATAAAAATGCATTTTCAAATGCAGCGGTTTCAATGAACCCATAAAGCAGAGCCTGGAGGCTCCAGTGTAAGGAAGGCACCAGAGAGTATGAGGATTCTGGTAATGCGGAGATACGTCGATCTGAAGGTGGTCAACTCAGTGAAAATACAGCAACAATGAAACTCATCTAATTCAAATAAAACAAACAATGGGCGCTTACCTAAACCCTTTCTGCATATTTTCAGTTCTTCTAAAGAACGAAGATCATTCTTCTCAGCACCTTTCACTGCAATACCCTCATTTTCAATATCTAAATCATGCTCACCCTTAAATATCTTCAAGGAGAGCCCTTCTGTGCCTGAGTTGGGATGCTGTGGTACATTCCCACAGCACCCTGCACTTTTCCTTCCTAACATTCAGGGTGCCCACCCACCTGCCTGGCTGTACACCTGAGAGCAGGAACTGTTTCTGACTTGTTCACAATGATATCTCTAGTGCCTAAGCCAGTTCCCGGCCCCAAATGCTTAAGAAAGAGTGTTTTATTATTGGTATTATTTTATTAATAATAGATATATGTATTTATAATATTAATACCATTATTAAAGGAATGAATGAATGATTGGGGGTTGGTACCTAAATCTAACAGAAGATATCATTTCTTTTTTTTTTTTTTTTTTTTTTTTAATTTG